AATTGAATACCAAAAACCATAACACTCACCTTTGCTTTTGAATTCAGTTTTGGAATCTCCTTTTGCACTTTTATCACCTAAGCCTCTTGAAAGAARATTATATATCTTTCCAAAATCAGTAAAACCTTTCTCATTCACATATACTTGCTATAAAAAKCAAGTGTTTAGCCGACATACCAAAAAGGGGTGCTTACCATGCAACCCTCCCCAACTATATATTAGTACATTACTCAAACACGATTATAAAGAAAGAATCTTAGATCGATCCCCCTCCACTCCTTGAATACCAAATACTATCCCCGAATTTCCCACTATCAAAATACATTATTATCGTATCAACTGTTAATGAAACTGAACATTACAATATCCCCTCCTTAGAAGAATTATGTCCCGGAATTCAACTAAGTAAACAGATAAGGATATTTAATTCTCATATTTGTCTCTGATTCCTAGGTGGCATCCGCCCCTTTATGATAACTCCACTGAACTCTTACTAACCTGATCTCTTTATTCCGCAATTTTTTATCTTGAAGTCAGTAATGGCTTCAGGGGTTTCTTCAAAACATAACTTCTAATCAATCTTAATTTATGGTAGAGGCACCGCTACTTCCGGATTTGCTAAACACTTCCTCAAATTTGATACATGAAACGTATCATGAATACCACTTAACTCTAAAGGAAGTTCTAGTTTGTATGCCACTTCTCCAACTCTTTTAATGATAGGAAATGGTCCAAAATGTACAACTCCTTTCCAAGGTGATATTTTGAACATTACTTTATCACCAATTTGGAACTCAATTGGTTTCCGACGTTTTGTAACACCCCATAATACACATTGCATGTGACACATATTTCATACAAAAGAAATACATGTTTATATACCAATCAGGTCCCTTAATACAAGAATCTATCATTACCAAATACAAGGTCCAAAAATTCAAATACATTTCTGGTACTAATCAACGTTCATCAAACAAAACTGTACATCAAAGACAGTTCTTCATGTAGAAATGCGTATAGGAAAATATTACATTTTCCCCTACCCCTTACCGTCGGTACCTTCTGCAATACATAGTTAAAATCACAAAACGAGGGTTAGACCGAAAGGTCTAGTGAGATACCCTATTTATGTTATTGCAGGGTGAAAATCACCAAAACCTTTATGGAAAACAACTTTTCATATATATAACAAATATATAAATAAAAATGGACATAATACCAGATCCTTTCCACTTTTCAAGCTAAGCATTCAGCTATTCAAATCACATACTTTTGAACTAACCAGGTTTCATATAATGCCACTTTTAAACATTTTCTAATCAAACAAGGTTTATTTAAAGTTCTAGGTCAGACCTGTTATTTTCTCCTCAATAACATACATACTATGATTTCCAATAAGAACCTTGATCCTAAATCTTTAAATCACAAAGAAATAAAGATTCCAAACCACGGTAGTCTTAAGGGATATAATAGAAATAGTTATATCATACAACATACATACAAATGTCACCCTTATATCAAATGTACACCTTTCCTTGATATGTCACCCTTATCCCATGGTACACCTCTATTTGATATACCACCCTTATTTCCTCATCAAAACATTTTACAAAAAACAATTCCAAATAGACCGCAGTCAATGGAATTATTATCAATCCAAAATCATTTATATCAAATTTTTTATTTTATGATAAAATAACAATTTTCATCAATCAAGTACAAGGTATAGTACAAATCCGGTCAACATAGGCTTGGCCGGACTTCATCTCCGGTCAAGTCTTGGTCGGTTTACCAAATCCGGACAACTCATCGCCCAAGGCTTGTCCGATTTAACACTTAGAATAAATTTCAACATCTTTGTCCGGATAACAAGTCCGGACAATATATCGTCCAAAACTTGACCGATTTAAAATAATCTGGTCACCACATGGTCGTATTCATACTTCTCCGTTCAAAATGTTTACCATACTTATCATTCATAACTCACTCAATGCTTAACCGGTTTAAAACTAAACCGCTTAACACTTGTTCGGTTTAGGGCTTAATCGCCCAACCCTTGTCCGATTTAGACTTAATCCGATCACCCTTTGTTCGGAAAAAGACCCCTAATAATAACTGATTTTTTTCCAATAATAAACAACATTCAAATAAAACCAGTAACAAGTTTTATGCAAAAAGGTTTAGGAATCACTCACCTTATCAAGCCTTTTGAAACAACCTTCTTGTAATGCAAAAATAAGAAAAATCCGGGCAAGCTTCCTTTCTAAATCGCTTAATTTATCAAAATATCCAAGAAGATAAAATGGGGGGTCAAACCCTCCTTTTATACCTTTTCTTAACAGGAAAGTCGGCCACATGCACACACCCACACACCATGCATTCTCATAACATGCATGTGTGTATAATTATATATTTATATATATATATATATATATATAATTATACATATACACATAATCTTATACATGCATTCACATTATGCACATAATTTCCACACACACTAGCATGATCAAATAAAACAAATTTATCATGCTATCACGTAATCATTTAATCAGATAATAACATATTCATTACCTCGGGTGATAACCAAAAATCCAGTTATCACACGTTTATCGGCATAACTTCTTTGCCGATCTTGTGCCACTTTCATTCGTTCTCATATTTGGCAAATTTTATCCGTTGTTTGTTGTAATAGATCAGAAACAATTACAAGAAATTTTATCCGTTGTTTGTTGTACTAGCTCGGGCCCAGCTAACTGTTTCTCACCTATCTTGTTCCAGCACAAAGGAGTTAGAAACTTTTGTCCATACAGAACCTCAAAAAGTGCAGCTTGAATACTCGAATGGTAGCTATTATTGTAAGCGAATTCGAATTCTACCAAAGCCAAATGATTATCTCATGATCCCCCAAAATCAATAACACAAGCTCTAAGCATATCTTCTAATGTTTGGATAGTTCGTTTACTTTTTCCATACGTGTAAGGATGGTAAGATGCACTTAGCTTAATCTGTGAACCCATCTCTCTTTGAAAACTCATCCAAAATATAGAAGTGAATCGACTATCTCTATAAAAAATAATTGATAGGGGAACACCATGACGTGTCATTATCTCATCAATATACAGTTTTCCCAATCTC